GCAGCCGGCCCAAACGGTTTGTCGGACGAAAATGTAACATGCGCACGTTTGACTCGCATTTGAGGACGCTGATAGGCGCATATGTACGTAGGAGGCATGTAAGTACCCAGCCCAACCTAACTTAATCTAGGTCATGCACGTACCGGTATGGATATACATAGTACCTACCTACCTAGGTAGGTAGGTAATAGTATACTCATAAGTGCTGGCGTCGATGTGGCAGGCAACCCTGGCGCATGTAGTCTACCTCTTGACAAGATCTACTAGTACGTGAGTATATGTAGGAAAGTCGTATCAGCACACTCTCTCGAGCATGTAGGTACATACATACTTGATATATACAGGATACCTGTTCTGTACATATGCATGTCTCTCTCCCACGCGCGCGAGGCCCTGCAAGAGAGATTGCCGACGTACCGGGCCACAACCTGATCCTAGTTGGCGCCAGACGTGGGTACGTATGTATCTCCTTGCCTTGATGTCGCGGTATATAATACCTGCTGCGTATACCCGTTTACCCGTTTACCCGTAGTTAGAGGTTATGTGCGTGGAGCACTCCCCGCTGCCCTTGCCATTATGATGACATGGAGAATCAGCATTATGAGGCAGGAACTTGCGTACTCGCACGCATACGCGCCGACCTCAGGCCTGAGGTACCTATATATGTACCTGGCTACACACATATCTTAGGTACCTAGGTACGTAGTATAGTAACTAGGCATCCAGAGGAGGAGGGAAGCCACGAGACGCCTGATCCGGTTAGCTTCAGTGGTACCGACAGCTTTGGGACTTGCATTGCATGAACTCCACAGGACTGGGCAGGCAGTGGGGAGAGCTTTTGGCAGCAGCGGGCGGCTTACGTAGTGCGTGTGGGCTGGCACGGGATTAGGTACGTCCAAACTGCGCTCAAAGCGCACTTCTGGCGCGGTACTGAGACGGGGGAAAGCCCGAAAGAACAAAAAACGTGCCAGACGAAGGAGAGCTATGGCCGGCTGATTGTGCCACGCGGTCGGGGTCGGAGGACCAGCTTCCCCCCCCCCTACTTACTGCCCGTGGCATAGCCGGGTCAGGACCCAGGTGGCCGGGATGGGATAGGAGAGAGGAGATGGGCGTATATGCACGTACGCGTGTATGCATATATGTACATATGTACTCCGCTATGCAGGTATACAGTACGCGCGTACGGGCGTTGCGACAGCGACAATAGGGTGGACACCTTTGCTTTGGTGCTTGGTCCTTTGGTAGCTTGTAGGGGCGAGAGAGGCCGGGAATCCTTCTCGAAGCCGTCGGCCAAGGGATCACTGGACCCGGTTCCGAGTCGTACCATACTTACAGTCATAGCTCTGTTGAACGTATGTTTCGCCTTCTCCTCTCCCCTGCGCTCCTCTCCCTCTTTCGGTCTTCTGGTTCCCGGAAGAGAAGGGCGTATACGCTCTCGGGGGCACGGGTTCGACGCACCTATATTCATATTTATATTTTTAATTTTTTGCGGCTTTCAATTTCTATATCCTTCCTTCACGGTTAGGAGGAGGCGTATGTGCGAGTATTGCTATGACGGTATGCAGGAGAAGAAATTACATAACGTAGCCGGCATTATAGACTACAGAGGAGAGGTTGTTTCCGAAGGCTCCCGTCTAATATCAGGTCATTATACAGTAGGTACCTCCCTGACGTATAGATGAGGGGGTGTACGTGTATAGGTATATATTATATATGTAAGGTACCTACCTCATAACCTACAGGCTTGCTAGGTTGAAACCGTTGTGCGGGGCATGCGCCGACTTCAACTACCTTACCCAATGTATGCATATACATACCTACATACCTGCCTATGCAGTAACCGAGACAGATACCTATACTATAAGATGTTGTACGTGGTACACGCGCGCATGCACTTGGGTGTGATGCCACCGGCACCGGTGGAGCGTCACTCTTTCCTCCCCCAGAGCCTGCCTGCCTCTACCTAAGGCACACATGTATGTACGTACCTACACACCTCCATATCTGCGTATCCCTCGGCCTTCTTCCTTGTCTTCTCTTCTTCTTCCATTTTTCCCGAAGCCGCGCTTGGACATATCCAAGCTTGTCATCGATCTCTCTCATTTACGCTGTCGTCGCCCAACCCCAGGCCAGCCAGCCAGCCAGCCAAACCGCCGGCCATGCCAACCCGAACACGCATACCCAGACACCTACTACATTACTACGTGCGCACATATGAGTACACGCACACACACACACGCACACGCGCACGGCAAAACCCATCAACCAACAATCCCTACTGCCATAACCTGTGTGGGCCCTCTCTCCGAACCACGCCGAAAAAGTAACCGCCCGGTCCAAGCCGTCAAAGCGCAAATTGGGTTTCGCCCAGGTCAAAGCGCTCGTCTGATCTCTGTCCTCTCGTTCCTATATCTCGCTTCATTATGGCCTCGGAAAAGTCCACAGCGTGCCGACTAGAGAGTACTCTCGTATAATCCCTCTTCGCGCTATGCCTACCCCCTCCCTTCCGCCCTCCGCCCTGTGCGCCCTGTCTCTCTCCGTCCCCTCTCACCGTCGCCGCCTCCCGACGCCAGACTTACCATGCCTAACAATAGGGCAACCCGTTATGTAGCATCCACCGCGGCCGACTGCAGGGCACACGAGAGGGTTCGTGCCAGGCCCTGCAATAAAAGTGCCCAATAAAAAGTCTGATAGGCACTTCAATGCAGTGCAACCGTGCTGACCTAGCGCTCCCTCGCTCTCACGGTCTCTCTCTTAGCCTCGACGTCTTCCCGAGTAGGGCTGTTCGCGACAGGCCTCAGCCAAGCCAGAGGTTCAAGACGTTCCCGCTGGTCACATTGTGGGCGACACTTGCCGAGCCGGTATCCATAGACGCTAGTATCTGTCAATGGCTATCATAACTGCCATTGCTGCCGCTAACCTGCTAAGGAAGTATGGGCGGAGGAAGGGTATGGCTCGTCGGGGCGTCGTGATCTACCTACGTAGTACATACGCGCACACGCACACCACACAATGCATACCTCCCTATCTACTTACCTCGCCAGTCAGCACGTATGTACCACTCGCACATACGACATATCTCGGCGACACGGGTCGGAGTGATCAGCGCGGATTGGACACGGCAGCCGCTGGCCGTCGGAAGCATTTGCGCTCAGCTCGATACGCTCGCTGCCTTTGCCCGCGTGTGGTGGCAACAACACCGCGCGGACACTCAACCCACCCGTCCGAGAATTCCGACGCGGCCAATCTCGCGCCCACATCTAGTGGGATCGTGTCTCACATATCTGTGCATCTAGATGGCCTCGTGTAGACCGTGTTCGACGGAGTGATTGCCCACCTCCCTCCAGCGATGAGGGGAAACAGAAAGTGTCTAGGATAGAGACGCCAAACGAGGCAGAGTCGCTTCTCACTCTACGGCTCTACCCAGTTAACCCAGTCTCTACCAATGCGAGACAAACCCCCTCCCCCGATCGAGAATTCCCGGGGGTTGAGTCCAGAGTTGTAGGCACCAACAGCGATTACGCGACAGACCGCTCATTCGACGCTGCGGCCGCCAAAGCCTCACTTGTGCTCGCCCGTACACACACGTATGTATGTTTTCACCTGTAGCGCAAGCCAGAGGAAGAGGAAAAAGAAAAAAAAAGGGCCGTAGCGGCGATGAGAACAGGGCGCACCCCAGCGTCACTGTAAGCTCGGCCAGATTTGGCCCTGAGGAACAGGATCTTGGCACGCGAATGGCGGTGTGTGTGTGCTGCGCGTTGCGCTTGTCCGCGCGCGGTGCCTTCCCATCGCCGGGCTGCCCTCCCAGGGCTCAAACGGAGCAGCGGTATTTCATTCGGGAGAGAGAGAGTGTGTGTGTGTGTGAGAGAGGGACTCGGAGGGAGCACTCAGGCGGCTAGCAGTGGAGGATTGCTCTCACAGATAGCTCCCTCCCCTCCCCATAGGGATTGCGGGAATTTGCCATATACTGGCCCCTCCCCCTCCCCCGGTCTCTCTCAAAGCGGGACGGCAAACGGACGTGTGCTATCAAGCGCCAGAATATTGGGCTGGACGGCGCCTCCTCGTTTATGCACCTGGGGGCGTGGAGTGTGGGTTGGCTAATGCGGGCGGGTTTGCTCGAGGCGCTGGGACGACAGCGACGAGGCCGAGGCCGCGTGCCGCGCGAAGCGGATCATACAACGCGAACGCAACCTGAGCCTCTTGACCGCGGCCGACGACGGCCGCGGATTGGCCGAGACCAGTCAGCCCTATAATGGCAGGGCAATTCTTGTTTCTTATTTTATTTTTAGCGAGCCGTGAACGCTAGATCGCGGTGTTTCGAAGCTTCTTGGAAACCCCGAGACATCCTCCCAGGTCAACGTAGGTCCGAGCCGACGTGGCCCCGTGAATCAGAACCCCTTTGCCGGGTGAGCTACCGAGACAGCTACCAAGACGCCTATGCTGGCACCTGGACTCCACGCTCTCCTGTGTCTTGGAAGCTAGAGAAAGATCTATCCCGTTTCTACTACCGCAGCTTCACGACCTGGCGAGATGAGAAGCAGTGAACCAACCCCCTGTATTACCCTAACCCGCTCTCCACGCTCGGCGCAAGAGCGGATATTGACCTCATGAAGTACGCCGTTTCTATGCTGACCAACAGAGCAAGTACGAGGCGAGTTCGAACTGCCAGGTCGTTGGTGTATATACATGGCCACCCGATACGGAGGTTGCACATACGTCTACCATAAATGCTTCAAATCCAGACAGCCATGTCCCTTCGCTAGCAATGCAGATACCAATCCCATAAATACTTATCGGAACATTCGCATCCGAAAGCACCTAGCGCCAGTTTCTTCCATGACATCTGATACGACCCCCGAGCGCGGTATACAGCCAGAAGCTCTGATCCACAAAGGGGGAAATCTTTGGTTATTCCTTATTCCAAATTTCTTCTGCACCCCGCTGATCTAATACGGCTGAGTGGGAAAACATTCAGAGAAGAAGGAAAAGTGTAGTAGTTATCACGTGTCATCCCCCAGCGAGTAGATGCCCTTCAGAATCTCCCAGCACCACAGAGCAGTCGGATCAGCGTCTTTCAGGTCCCGTATCCAGTCTGTGTAAAGGATGGCCGTCTCGTTGGCGTCTTGTTCGAATTTGCTTCCCATCATCGTCCGTATCCGCACCAGGATCGGCACCTGCCGCGTCAGATGTAGAATCAAGAGGATGCCTAGGAGGTTCTGCGACCAGAAGAACAAGCACGGAACTAACCTCTTGTGGAAGCATGTGGGCGACATGGTGATGGGCCATTTCAAGCAAGCCTTAAGGCATTCCACAACCCCGTCCGCGTCGTCCCGTGTCATCTGCTCCGGGCGGTGAAGGGCCTTGAAGATGAATGGTCGGTAAATGAGATACTTGACGTAGTAATATCGGGTCCGGAGGCTAGCCGTCTGTATATCTAGCGCGTAAGGATAGCTCACGGGAGGGCTGTCCAGATCCGCCGTGAACATGAAGTTGGCGTGGAGATCGGGAATGGGAGGCGGATACATCGATTGGTCGTCGTACAGCTCTTCGGTCGGGTTCGGTACGGCCCCGGGGTGTTCTTCTTCCCAACGCAGATATGCAGGTAAGAGGCCTCGCCACTGATCTAGTTGGGCGGCCATCTGCTTCATCATAACCGTGGCCGGCGTGGCCGGCGTTTCGGCTGCGAGATTCGTAGGGCCGAAAGCTTTGCTTCCCTCGTTAGCCGTCTTGCTACGATGTGAAGGTAACGAGCAATGCAGCTTACCATTAGTCAATGTGGTGTGAAACTCCACAGAGAGTCTCCGAAGCACGATTTGCGAGGCGAAGTGCTCTTGGAAATGTGATGTCTGGTTTCCGATGTAGTCATCCTCCGAGTACGGGCCGCTGAAATCTGGCAAGCCAACTATGGCTTCTAATTTGTCGAGCCCAGTCTGAGGCAGGTTCAGCTCCATGTTTAAATATCTGTCGAGGGTCAGCCCGGATCCCTAAGCGGATAAGAGTGAGTCGTTGGTGTACGTCTCCATTATGGAACAATGCCAAAATGCCCTTCGAACCAAATCGCCTCGGTGTGTCGTCAACTCTTCCGGGTTGCTGAGGCCACGTCAACCATGATCAACCTCGTTTCATCATCTCTTGTGCATACCTGGTCAGCAGCGCCTGGCAAGCTAGCGAGGCTGATATCGTCATGCGCCAGAACTCCTACGCCAATTAGACCCCAGGCCGTGAAGATAATACCTGCAATACCGGGAGGAATTACCAGATGATGACAACACGTTCCGTAGTATATACTATGTAACCGAACTGGTAAGCTACAACAATACGAGTTGCGATTGGGAAAGCACTCACGCTGCTAATGCGAACATCTGTACATTTTCCAGACTGCACTCGGTTAAATTGAAACCCATTCGCTTCCTGGCCTCGTTAAAAAGCAGCAAGCCCGGTGGTCTCTCTAGAGTTCCGCCCCTGACACCGCTAGGGCGACCTTTATGGGTCTGCAAAAGCGTATTAGCAGCCGTCTCTCCGCGTTGTAGAAGAACAGGCGGATAGCGTGGGTGGGAAACGGGTTGGATTTCACAAGGTATGCCTCCGGTACTATGCGATACTGTGAACGAAGTGAAAGGTTGATAATGAGTTGCTCGATATCTGACTTACACCGAGGGGGGCGCCCTGTGTAGCGTTAAGAGCGACTTCGCCGAGCGCGAATACCAGACAGGCCAATGTGGAAGAACTGCTCTCATCGAAGCCATTATTCCCGATGGAAGGCAATACTTCCGACACAAACGATTGCCGATCCATGATCGGATGTATCAAGTTGAACGTATCGAAGTACGACTTAGCGAGTCGCTGCATCGTTTCCCAGTTCAAGTTTAGCTCCCCCGTCTGCATCACTTGACTCGAGTGAGGGACCTGCATGGGAAGAGAGGACCCCTCGCCACCGATATGCAGAGAGCCATGCATGCTCTTTGGCAGAGACATCGTCCGTCCCTGCAGGCCCAACAACACGGCAACTCCGTCTTTCTCTAGACATGCTAGGTCGAGATTCGGGACCTTATTCTCGAGGATCGGCTGCACGTAAGGCCAAGATAGCGTTTTATACGTTGCGGAGACGTACTGAACGTCTCGCGCAGAGGCTGGGGGGATTGGCGGCGGCGGCAGATGCACATTCTGAGGGGACCACGAACTGATCCGGCTGGTATCTAGCGTCGTGGCGGAAGGATTGGGCAGTGTAGGGCCATATATGGATTGGGGAAAAGAGCCTCGAGTGTTGAGGTTATCGACTTTCCCCTCGAGATTCCTTAGCCCCCCTTCGAGGCTCTTGAGTCTCTCCAATATCTCAACAAGGGTCTTGTCTTTCCTGCAGCTAGTCAGTATGGTCGACGCGTAACCGCACTACACCATTCGGCAACGGGCGACTGGTCGAATGTGCACTCGGAGGATACGCACTTGGTCGGCTGGGGCTCTCGATATTTGCATTCCAGCTGACGGGGTTAGTAGCACACTAACGCGGGTTGAGATGACGAGCCATCCTCACATTCATTCGCTGTTCCGCACCCCGGAGTTAGTGATTAGCCTACTCGCACAGTTTATACGAATCCCCCAAGAGGACCATCGAGAGTAGACGAGTGCTGCACGACTTCAAGAGCGATTTTCCCGGGAGAGAAGGGGGGGGGAGGTTGCTGACTTGCTTCCCGGCAGGCTGGGACGGACACGCAAAAGACTTTCAATCACTGACCTGACAAGTAGCGCACTTCGGCCGTTCCTCGCTGCATCTCTGTTTGCGCTGCCTGCAGGACTCACAGGCCTAGACGGATGGTCAAAACTGGTTGCGGAGAGTGGGAAGGCAAAATACCTGGGCTGCTATCGCGCCCCGCTCCTTTCTGCTGTTGGTGGGAGTCGCCGGGCCAGCAGAACTTGAATTGTTCGAAGCGTTCTCGGGATTCATCCTCTATAATTAATAAGCGAGCCGGGGAGAGGTAGGTGAGGATGGGGGGAAAAGGCCTCTAGTTCGAGGTCGATCGGGAAGGTTTCCTGTCAACAGGGGGCACATGACAGACGAGACGAGGTTAGTGCTACGGTGGTGTCCAAACCCGACTATCCCTAAAGAAGCGCGTGTGCCAAAGAGCGAGTCGACGCTGATCAGGCGCGCGATGTACTTGCCGTATGGGGGTCTGGGTCTGGAGGACGGTCGCCGGGCCGGACCGCAACGCGTCGACGGCGGAGGTATCAGCTCGGATATCTAGCGGTCCGTAGATGGGCTAGTACGGTGGCGACTGGCCGGCCGGGATCATAGTCTGCTCTACCAGCGTGTGTCATGCGGTAGCGACTCTTCAAAGAAGCACGAGGGCAAAAATTGATGGAGATTTTGTATTTTTTGGAGACATTTGGGCCAAGGCAAGCAAAACCGAATGTTTTGATGATGGTGGAGGGTGGTTCTCACGGAGGAAATGTCCGACTCCGCCGGCCGCCTCACCAAGGAAGGGAGATACAGGGCCTTAATTTGGTTTTGTCGAGCGCTCGCGGTCGAAAGGTACCGCTCTCTCGACGGGCCCGGCAACAGTTTACAGAACGGTCAGTGCAGTGAAGCTTGCTCGCCAGACAGCCGGACACATGACTTCCCAAGCGCTCGAAACCGCTGTGATTTGCTTTATCCTGGTGGTTGATGCAACGGCGCGGGTTGCCAGTTGGAGACCGGCGAGAACCTGATTAGTGTGGCTGTTGCACTGGCAAAAGGAACCCATCAGGAATAAAAGTGGCCAGACCTCAAGGGGCTGAAGAAGGCTGCAGAGCCAGGTAGCATGGACATATGTATGAATGCCCCCTTCGCAAGCCCGTCGAGGCGCCGCAAATGAGACATCTCTCTCTACCTACCTCTTCCCACGCGCTCACCCACCCACCTGCAAACCGTGCATCCGCTCATCCTGGTGGCAAATGCAGCGCTGGCCTCTGCAACTCACAACCCGCTGCCAAACATCCCAACGCGGTCCCGCAGCGACCTGGCTCCGGCGGCCATAGGCCCGTAGGGGCTGGTCTCGAGACGATGCGTTGCCGGGGTGGTTCCCAGGTCGTGGGAGCTCGCTGCTAGGCAAATACAATTGGACCAAAATGAAAGGCGGGTGGCGGAGGCCCAGCTCGAGTTCTCGAACCTCGTCCAGGTCAGGTCCAAAAGGGTCAAGTCTCGACGATGGATGACGGGCGGGCTTGGCTTGCCGACACACAAACGAGCGAGAAGCCCGACGTCATCCCGCTAGTTGCCGGCAATCTGCTGGATTCTGAGCATCGAGCTGCGCGGGCCGAAAGGATGTGCGGGAGGACGGGTAGCCAGCGCCCAGAGAGAGAGGAAGAGGAAGAGAGAGGGCCACGAAAAGCCGCAGATATATTGGCCGGCGAGAGTGGAAGTCGGTTTGTTCTTCGCGTACGAGTAAAACCCGGCCTCCTACGTAAGAATCGCAACGGACTAATAAAATCACTTGGAGGTAGGTACATGAGCGCAAATGCAGGAGGTACGTACCCGCACATCCATCAACGTCGCCCGGCTGCCCTGCCAGTGGTGGGACAGGACGGGAAGCTGGGACCCGAAGATGTGGGTAGGTACCTGGGAATTCTCAGGAAACGATGACGTCGAAAGATACACTCTCTTCTCTCTGCTTCTATGTTTTCCCGGGAAATCACAGCATAATGAAGATGAAGTTAATTTCTCTAGGTACCTAAGACGTCTCCCATCGCATATCTCGGCAGCATGGATAAAATTACACGTAAATCCAAGCAGAAGATGAATAATGGGCACGTCAAGTTGAGGGATGGGGGAGCAGCGATAAGAAGCGCAGATTACCTTAATTAAGCGTGTCAATGCGTCCGGATGGCATTCCCCCCAGCCCGCAGCGCCTGCCAGGCCTGCCACGCAGGTTGGTAGGTCGGTAGGCAGGTACCCAGGTACGCACAGCACCTAGGTACTTACTTGGGTGCCTGCCTAGGTAGGTACCTACCAACCTCTACCTCTAATGTAGGTACCTAGCCAGGTACCTAGCCACGCGTGGAAGTATGCCTGGGTACGTAAGCTGAGCGTCTCATCCATCCGCTCCCACGTAGCCAATCATATGCTACAGGCATATACTAAGAAGGTAAGCACGGAAGCACGGAAGTTACCAGCCTAGCCTAGCTGTACGTGCCTACCTCTCTGCTTCACCTATAATACGGGATGAACGCCACCTACATGCGCCTAACTGCCTACTGTGTGCAGGGGGGCCTGGCTTACGGTACCTACCTAGGGTGGGCACACAGCATCTAGGGAGGTACCTAGGTAGGCTGAGGCAACCACGGGTGATATGTTATGTACACAAGGTCCGTCTGCCTACTAAGAGGTAACGGTCTGTATCAAGGTACCTACCTAACTCAGTGGATGGCTTAGGCACATGCCTTACATCAGGTCAGGTATACCCGTACGACAACCTAAGTACCTACAGTAGGGAGGTGCTACGGCTTAGGCCCGTCCTGCCTCCTCGGCGAGAATAGAAGGACGGAAGTACACAAGTACATACGTAGGAGGCAGGTGGGTTTGTAGGTCTAGGTAGGTAGGTGGGTAGGTAGGCATGGATATATGCACGCGCATTACTTGTTCAGCTCCGTACCGCACGTCAACATTGCACCTGCCTACCTAACTACCTACCCAACAACTAACGTAGTACATAAGGCGCTACCTGCATGAAACGAGGCATCTACGTACATGGGTCTGTACCTGGGTCTGTGCCTGTACCTCCCCAAGATACCTGAGGTATTGTCGACCTCGGATCAGTTGAGAGGCGTAGAGGGGGAGGAAGGACCGGTCGGTGTGCCTCACCGAGAAGGTGCGTACTTGCATATGCCATATGTATGTAGGTATGTACCTATCTAGGTCGGCAGGAGCCGAGTCCGGGGTTCCCTCCAAGTTATTCAACCTGCATTTACATAATGTACCTACCTATGTACATATATCTTGGAGAGGCGGAAACTCGCCTGCCTCCTAATTCCTCCTACCACTACTACTACACACATCACATACATCCCACTATTAGAACTGGTGGTCTGCTCAACCATCCCTACTTATTTCCAAGTCTCAGACCAACCCAACTCCGTCCGCCTGGTAATCTATCGCTCACAAGACGCTGCCAGCATTTGCCTATAGCGATGATAGCAGCGGTATAGGAACTACGTGGTCCTAGCGGGCGCCGCTAGATTGGCCTAGGCCCTGGAATACCTACCATTTATACCCCTTCGTAACCCAGATTCTATGCAACCACGTCCTCGGCCCAGCCCGTCTCGACACCTTCATTGGAGAGCGCGGCGGGAAAGCGATAGATGATCTGTTGGCGACTTTCCTAATTTTCTGCGACCTTGGCTTCAGCCGCAGCCGAGCCTGGGCGACTACATTCGAACTACACGTCTACGTGACTATAATAAAGCTGACGAACCGGTCTCCTGATCCCACGTGTCTTATTCTTTTACACGCTGCATGCATCCGGCCACGCAAAGAAGCCGTCCAGTCTGGCCGTGAGTTGTGGGCCTCGCCGCTCGCTAAGGGGTGCTCTACGACGGCCCTGGCGACCATCAGCTCGTTAACCTCGTATCGCTCCGTCCGCAGTTTTGACGAGTTCTCAACCTTCCAATTCCCATTATTCGAAACCGGAGCCGCCCTTCACACAAATCCTCCACGCGGACCAGGAATAGCTATTTCGAGAACAACCAAACCTCGGGGCAAACAGCCGACCTCTTCTAGCCCAGCACTAACTGGCTCTTGGGATCGAAGAGTTAGGTGGCAGGCCGCTGTTGGCTGTTAGTCATAGGATACAGAGATTTGAAGGTCAGTGACCCGTCATTTCGAACGAAACCCCGAGCGGGTCGTCTCTGGGACAGGAGTATAGAGAGGTCTCACGTCACCAACAAGACTGAGCAAGTTTGACATTAGACGAGAGGCAGAGGAAACCTGCCACATGGCGGCAGCGGAAACACCAGCCGACGGGCACTTCGGATTCTAATCCGGACTCTTCTCCACAGTGATCACCCACAATACCGTGTTCTTCAGCTCATGCACATCCAGGAAGACCTATACCTTTCGTGACAAAGCAATGCAGCTAAACCGCAGATCTTCCCCTCCGGCCTCCTGCTCCAGTCGGATGACCCTCCTGAAGCCCAAATCAAGGGCTCTGGAGCTCAAGACGTCTTCATCAACCCCCAGGGCGCCCCGATCTATCGGCCCTTTCCTCGATCCTTCCAGTTCCCAGAGCCTGTCGTTTGCCTTGACGAAAGCCACGAAATGTTGACCCAGGTGGTCCTCGTTGCTCGCAGCCGTTTCCCCCAGCTGGACACAGGAATTGTGGGCTTCTTCGAAAGGCACGCTATCATAGAGCATTTTGGCCCGCTCTTCCCTCCCGAGAGGGATAGCGGCACGACGAATAGCATCTAGATCGGACCCTGGTTGGATGAAATCAGCCGCTGCGCCGTTGACGGCACAATGCAGAAATCCGATAGATCCGCAGGCGTGCTCAATGGTTTGCTTGAACCAAACGACGGGTTCTTCGGGACCGCGACCTTCATAGTCTGACTTTGCGGCGTCCTCGTTCCGGCGATCCTCCTTCCAGGCTGGAGTGTGAGGGAGGATGACGAGAAGAGCGAGGACAGGACGAGGAATATGGGCAGTTAATTCAGGCTCGTCGAGCGACCAAACATCATAGAAGGATAATTCGGGCGACAGTCCTAGTTTGGTCGCCAGCTGATTCATCACCTCAGGGTTGTTCTCTATCTCTCACGATTAGTCGCACGGAAACACGAACGGTCGCAAGAGCGCAATACCCAGCATAATCCACGTTTTGGGAGCCATGATGGCACCGTGGGACGGTAGGCGATGGACTAATGCTGGCCAGGCGGTGAACCCCCGCTGTTATTATAGACTGGAGTATCGAACCGCCTGGAATCGTTTACACGAGGCCGTGGACAACCTATTACTCGCTGTCTAGGTACGTAAATCAACTAGTGCTTAGGTGTCCGTCGGGCTAGACGACGGGGCTCTATAGGCGTGTTGCTATATCGACGGCGATGATTCTGCACGGCACCTCTGGCTGGACGCGAGCTTCCGCTGGGTACACACATTCCGCCACGACCATCATCATATACCAACTTCCCCCTACTAGGCAGAGACTCCACGTACCTATTATTATACGCGTCCAGCAGGCACCCGAGCGCAAACGTCACCAGGTAGCTGGCACGCGGGCAGCCTACGGGCCTGCATAAGTGCTTACTCGCACACCAGCGCACATGCATTGGGAGGTATTTAATGTAGGTACCTACTGGACTGTAGGTACCTACCCGAGGATGTGCGGCCTATACCTGCCTGCGTGCGACTCGCGGATGGGTCTGCCTCTCTCAGGCACCGCCACTTCGGCCCAAGCCACGCGGGGTCGGGACCGGCAAGCCCAGGTTGGTCAAGAGCCCGCGAGCGGGTTAGGTACCTTGGAAGGTATCTCGAAGGTACCTAAGGTGGGTTTGTAACTGGGTTAGGCGCTTCGGGCAGGGTGTACGAATGCCTCTGCACCGTTCCCGAGGCCGTGGACGGATATACTACTCCCCAGGAGGTTCCTACCTGCAGCGGGTAGGGTATTTTAGGTACGGGGCAGGCATAGATAGCATGTACCCAAAAGGTACCCCAAGTGGGCTCAGTCCGCCCGCTAGGTCAAGTCGGGTTGGACTGCGTGGGAGGTACCTCGGTAGCCATGCCTCTATATCGACTCTGGCGGACGGGTCTATACAGGTCGGTACCTCGATCAGGTATAATACCGTCAGGTATCCAGCTAACAGGCACCTGAACACCTGAAATCGTTGCATTGGGTATTGTTTAAGCGCCGGCCCAATCAACCCTCTCTCTGCCCACATATAGCCCCTTTCTCCCTCTCGTGCCATGCTCGTCTGTATACTACGTGATCGACGGGCATCGTCTATCTTACACGATACGCTAGGTCCCGCGAGGCGTGGTTGTGGCCCTGAAAAGCCACCGTCAAACACGGCAACAAAGCGATGGCGGGTAGTCGAGCGCGGGCAGAACTCGCAGCTAGTCTCGGCGGCAATCGTGTGCGGCGTGGTCGGGGCCGCCAAGTATACAGCGCCTATGTTGCAATACCGCCTTGGGCATCGATATGCCGGACGTATTGCTGCGTGACCTCTGTGTTGGCGTCGGATCTACATGACACGACTAGACACATGTAATTTGCCATAATAGTGGGCAGAAAAGGGGCGGGAGGGGATTGTATCATTCCTAGTTTTTTCATCGGTGGAAAATATGACAGCAGAGACAAAGCGTGGTATCGATTCCTGCCTGATTATACGCCTACGTACGGGCTACGGAGGACATGTGGTTTTTAATCGAAAGAGAAATCCGCTGCTAACCTCTTGATAGGTATTATTTGTCACCCACGCATTGGGGTCTACCGTGCAAAGCTATGCGGCATGATCAGTATGGGAAGTTATATCGGCGAATTAGACGAAAAGAGAGATTCTCGCTAATGCCTGACTCTCCCGGGTGATAATTAGACTCGTGGTTTTTAGGGGGGGGGGGGGGGGGTTTCCGTCAGGGGCCGTCTCTAGGCAAAAGGGGTTGTTGTTTTATCGTACCCGCCGTTCGCATGCTCGGAACTTTTGTGACTGAAGGGACACGCCAGCAGGCAGCAGGTCCTGCCAGGCATAAATTGTCGTGACGGAGTGCTATTCGTGTACTCGAAAGTTGGACGGACGGTCCAGCCATCACAGGCTTTTTGAGCTGAGTGCCATGGGCGAATATAGCCCGCCTTCCAGCCAGCAGGGTGTCCTCGAGAAAGGTAGCAATGGCGCAGGCGGGAGCACGCATTACGCGCGGCAGCAATCGTAAGAGCGTGCCCATGCCCATACGCAGATGACCTGACTGCCCATCGAGCAGATCGCGGACCGTGGGTCTCGGCTGGACCCCTGGGTCTGGGTTCGATGGGGAGGCGGGAGATACTCCACGACTATCTATCTCGGAGCAACCCGACTCGATATCCATCTCGCGTGTCCATCCGGATGAGGGGTTACCGTGTGCGTATCTATATGGGTATGCATGCGTGCCTGGTAATGTGCCGAGCACAATCCCACCCTCGACGTCGACGAGAGGGGGGACGGGCGGGTAATCAAGTATTATTATCGTGTAATCCCTAACCAGACAGACCCATGTGGCATATCCTGCGGGAGGCTCGGAAAGGTAGCGTTGAGCATTATTACTCCCCCTCTTCCTCCCCCTCGTCGTCGTCGTCGTAGGAATACTGCTGCTGCTGCTGCTCCCGCTACCGCCGCTAGTACACTGCGACTAACAATACCTACCTATCTACATACCCGGTACGAGGTCCCAGAACCGACGCAGACAGGCGGACGTCTGTGACATGAGATGGCTTGCAAAGGGCATTGGGATCGACGACAGCCAGGGTAAGGGGCATCGAGACCGCGTGGGCCAGCAAAATGGCGATGACAACGACGATACGCCGGACCCGAATTATCTATTAGGTTGGGCAGGTTTTGGGCGATGGTATCCGCAAGCACCGTCCGTGACAGAATCCCGACCCCACACCCTTTTGCTACCGTTGCCGTCGCCTCTGCAGTCTCGCGGCCGGCCTTTCAGGGAGAAGCGGTTGCGAAGCGACATAGCCGCGTATATATACAATATATATACCCTACAGAAGCGGGCACTCGTATAGACAGAGGAGGCCTTTTGGGTAATGCCGCGCGATAGGAGTATCAACTTGGATGCTTAGGTACTTTACCGGATCTTGAGACCGAAATAAACCCGCTACGGAATAAATACGGATGCCACCGTCTCCCAGTTTATTAGCGATGTTAAACATGGGCACATAACTTCTAGGCAGCACAATTCTAGCAGATAACCACCCATCTATTCGGCATGTATTTGTTTGGTTTTACGTAGTTACACGCGTTCATGCTGTCGGCGTGGACGGAAACTGTGTCTGCCTATAGAATAATACTCTCGAGGACAGCAGTTGGCTTTTCCCCCTTTCCTCTCTTTCGATTTTGCGAGCTATTACAAGGAAAACGGTAATAACAGTTGCGACAAGCGAGAAGAACAATGTCGCCGTGATAGGCTATACCAAACCGCTGCCAGAGCCGTAGGTACATACTCATATTTTTCCAAAGAACCGGAAGTGAGGGAGGAAATTGTTACTTATCATTTCTCAACTCGTTTCCCCTGCCCTCCCACGTAAGCCGATGGCGTAGACGGGCGTCGAAAGGCGCATAGGCTGGGTGATAATATTACATACCTAGATGATCCGCAATCTCGGTCCAGGGCGGAAAGGGGATATGTGACAGAATTCCCCCCAACCCGACAGGTTCCTCTATCGACGTACCTACCCCAAGCACCTCGTCGAATACGTTAGAGGCAGCCTCTCTGAGTAGCTAACGAGACACGCCGACTCTAACAAACAAACGGACAGCTGCCCGGGCACGATGCCTCTTATCAATCAAACCACCGCCCTGGGCCACGTCTAGCCTTACATACCTACCGTACCTACATTCCCGCACCCCACCAGCCGGTTCCGTGGGCCACGACGTACCTACTTGAGGAGGGGGGACGGTTACCTCTCAGGGGGGGCGATGTTGCGCGAGCAAGTCATCTAACTCGGGTGTCTGCCCACCTGCTCACCTGCCTGTCTAGGCAGCTGGCACATTCGACTCGTTAGCGACGGCATACACCTAGGCAGTGACTCGCGTTCCCTTCCCGGGCCACCGGGTCCTCCTCCTCTTTGCGTCCGCATATCGCGGTCAGTCTGTGCCGCGGGTATCCAGACCGCCGGGTTTGCGTAGGAGGGAGGAAGGGAGGGCACGACGGCGGAGGGGAGCGGAAAAGAAGTGCTTGTTTGCCCTCTCGACCCGTCGCTCCCGCAGCCGGGAGGCCCCTGCGGTGCCGCAGACCCGGACGGCATCTGCCGTCTGCCTTGGGGCCAGGCTCGCTCGAGGGCCCGCGGCCGCGTACCACGGCACGGGGGCGTACCCGTCTACACAGACGCTGCCTGGGCCGCCGCCGCCGCCGCTACACCAACTCGAAACCTACGGGCACGCTTGTCCCTCGCCGAATCAGCTCGTCGCCGCCTGGGCGTTCCGCCAGGACCCTTTGCGCCGCGTTGCGCCGGGCAAAGACCTGCCCTCGCTAGCGCTAGCTGCGGAGAAGAAAAAAAGAGGGCGCGGGTGAGCTCGCGCAGGAACCGCGGACCCGCCTCCCGCGGCGGACCAACAGAACCTACCTGGGCAAGTCCGCTCGTGCGATGGATAGGATACCGACCGCGCGGCCGCGGAGGCGAGGAATGGCGGGACCGGCCTGCCGGCGCCGGGAGGCTACATTGCTGGTGCTAGTGCTAGTGCGACCAGCGGCGGGTTGATATGGCCCTGTGATGGCTGTCGGCAAGCGTATGCGGTGGCCTTTTGTCGCCGCGGGGTCCCGGGCCGTGGCTCGCCACGATAATGTGTCCAGAGATAGGCATTACATTTCGATTCATTTCGCGCCGCCGGAAAGGGAGGGGGGCGGGTCGGCGAGCTGGGTGTACGGTGTGCTCTACGAGGGGAGTAGAGCCGCAACCTTGGTTGCTTGTCTGCCAGCGGATGTTCCCCCCTCCCCCCCCTCTCTCTCTAGCTCGCGCTCTATCGCGCAGAGAGCCTACGGCGCGGGTGTCTGTCGCAGTTCGTTCGCTCGTTCCGCAGAGCGTTGGATACTATTGCGCCCCAAACCCTGGTGCTAATATTACCTACCTACCTCTTTAGTGTCCGCTCTATTAATGCGTGCGGAGGCCGCGCAGGGGAAGAGGCGGAAGAAACTAATGCCTACCCACTACCGCGAACCCGACTCGTAATAATACCATCTCCTCGGCTACTCAACCCGTGCCGCTATCCTATTAGACTCTAGCAAGGGAGAAAGCGAGACGGCAAAGCCGCTAGCTCGGCATCCCGGTTGCGCGGGGAGTAATATTAAACCAGCACCAGCCCGTTTCACGCTAGCTCCCGTAGCTTCGCCGGGGGGAAGGGGGGCATCGCATCCGTAGCGAAACCGCTCCACCCGAGCCCTGCAGCGCGGCGAACAGCTCTTGCGCGCCTCCGCCCGGCCCGGCCCCGTCGCGCCTCTCCCTCTAGCCGCCTGCGAGGCGACTTGGTAATTAGGTACGGAGGCGTAGGCTGGGAAACTGGCTTACTGCCAAAGGCTGGTTTTCTCCAATTATATATGCGTATGCCTGCCTACCCACGCATCTATCTATCCATCTATCTCTTTCTCTCTATATGCGTGTATGTGCAGTTATGTAGATATGAAAACAAGCACGCCATGTCCATCACCCACCAGCCCACCACTTAAACACTCACCCCTTCTACTCCTATAGAGACAGTCGCGCGGCCGCCGGCTAGTGAGCGGGCGCCTCCATATGTATGTACCTACAACAATGTTGTTAGCGCCGATGTCCTCCCTTTTTTCCGCCTTCCTCCGACTTCTGACAGAGAGAGATAGGCCTATTGCTACAAACCGCGAACGCAATGCGATCGGCTCCTCTTCTTTCCCTAGGGATGATGATACACCTGCACGGCGTCTTCTCTCTCCCTCCTCTTCCGTCTCACCGCCTCTTCGCTCCGACAGCGCGACCACCTCCTTCTCTCCTTTCCCGATGCCGAAGATGCTTGTGTCAGGTTTCCTACCAGGGGTCCGGGTAGCACATGTCGAGAAGCGGAGGAGAACCCAGGACCAGGGTTGCAGGGTGCTCAATTAATTTGAAGCCACTAGCTCGGACGCGCCGCGGTCTAACCTTTACCTTACCCCACGCTCCGTGGTCTGACCGAGTCGACGTCGACTAGGCTACCTCGTCTCGTCCGGAGCACGGCCTTCCTCCAGACGTACGAAGCCGGTTTCCACTTGCGAGGTAATTCCATCCACTGACTTGCTGTCTTGTGGAAGGCAGAAATATGTAGTGACATTTCTTGAGGTATCATCTGGTTAATTACAGTAGGTACGAGCTGCGACCAGTCGTCGCGGGCTCTGCGTTTTTCTAATTTATAGGTATCGTCTAAACAATGCTTGTCTAGCGCACATCCGCGCATCCCCGATCCCGACATGGAGACCAGACAGGACCGTCTGGGAGAGGTCTTCCTTAAACCTTTTCCTCGATAGTCTGGCCAACCAGACCGGCGCCGTCCTCGACGTGGTGCCTTTCGGACGCGTACGTGTGGCTCGGCTTCCACTTGGCCGACTCGCGAGGGCTGACTTCTTGCATACACATATCGGCCTGCTCGAGGGAGAGGCCCCTCAGTTCAGGAACCAGGAAGTAGGCGAATGTCAGTGACAGGCAGCACAGAGAACCCCACAGGAAGAACACCTTGGGCCCGAGGTTGGCCTCGTCCGCACCGACGAGGTAGGGAGTGATGACGGCGATGATGGTGTTCCAGAACCAGTTAGAGGCCGTGGAGATGCCGACACCGCGCGATCGGATGGGAAGAGGGAACGCCTCACCTACGACGACCCAGGCGGTAGGGCCCCACGTGGTGGCGAAGAAGGAGATGTTGATGCAGATGAAGGCGATCATAGCCTGCACGGCCGCGTTGTTGCCGACCTCCACCCTTCCTTCGGTAACGCCGATGGCTCCGACGATAAATTGCGAGACGATCATACCGGTGGCGCCAGTTAGGAGAAGGGCGCGGCGACCGAACTTCTCGATGGTATAGAACGAGATAGGGGTCGATAGCACGTTAACTAGGGTCGTAACCAGCGAGATGAGGAAGGGGTCGGAGATGGTTCCGAGCTGCTTGAAGAAGGGCGGGCCGAAGTAGAAGACGAAGTTAATACCGGTACACTGCTGCATGCACTGCAGACCGGCGCCGAGAATGGTTCGTCGGATGCTGCTGTTGCCCTGGAAAATCGATCCCTTAAAGCACGCGGTCCAAGAACCGACATAGCTGGTCTGAGGGATATTCTGCATCTCGTACTCGTTGTTGGCTACGATTTCGGCCAACTCGTCCTTGATGTAGTCAGATTCTAGAGGCTGGCCGCGGACGAAGGCGAGAGCTTTGGCGGCCTGCTCGATCTTGCCCTTCTTAACGAAGTAGCGCGGAGATTCGGGAAGGATAAAGAGGCCAATGCCTAGAATGATAGCCCACAGGAACTGTATGCCGATGGGAATCCTGTACGAGCCAGAGTCGGGGCGGGCCTGGGTGGCGTAGACGACGCAGTTGGCCAGCAGAATACCGACGGTGATGCAGAACTGGTAGCCGGAGACCATGGCGCCACGAACCTTCTTGGGCGCAATCTCGGACATGTATAGAATGACAACGGCAGAGATGAAGCCGACGCCGCCACCGGCGATCAGACGACCAAAGACGAACAGGACCTCTTGGTTCGTGCTGGAAATCTGCATGATGCAACCGACACAGAAGACAAGGCAACCGAGGATGATAGTGGGACGTCGGCCGACGAAGTCAGCGATGTCACCACCGACCAGAGCACCGAAGAAGGTGCCGCAGGACAGGATCGACGTGAAGAGAGATTGGGTCGCCGAGGGTAGCACGAATTCCTCCTTGGAAGCGCCGATGGGGCCACCGATCGTGCCGTCGGCATTCACCACATAGTAGTCGTAGGGGATGCCGGTGTACAGGGAGATGAAGTAAGGCATGGCTAGCACGCCACCCATCCAACCTGTAAAATCCAGTCAGCACCCGCGAAAGGTATTTCGAATGCCCACGCTCGAGCTTACCGGTGTCATAGCCGAAGAAGATACCGCCGAAGGCGGCGAAGGCGCAAATTAAGTAGGCCTTGACGGTGACGGGCGCCTCGACACGAGAGATGTCGGTGGTTCCCGCAACAACACCTCCAGCCATCTTCGAGTTGTCTTTTTTTCTCTCTCGCTCTGTGGGTAGGAGTGCGGGTGAAGCTGTTGCTATCCCAGGCTTGTGCTGCCGTGTGGAAGAAATGGACGGGGGGCAGCGCGTCTGAGGCGGAGTAGCAAGCGGACGGAAGCACGAGAGTGGCGGAAGGGGAGAGGATTTTGCCAGATATTATATACCTACCTCTACGTAGCTACCGGCTGAAGGGCATAGCGGAGGGACGAGGAGAGCGAGAGAGACAGAGCTTCGACACGAAGACACCACATCCCCCTGCACATTCCACCAACTGATTGCGCCCAGGAAGCGGCCGATCCTACCTTGACCTGGGGGGAAACGTGGTACCCAGGCGAATTCAGGTTGTAGGTATCCCCAAGACGTCTCACGGAGGTGTAGTGGAAGCAGCGGGCACCTCGTCTACAGAGCGGAACCGTTATACGCCACGCCACCTCTCCGTCTCCTGCGTAGGTATGTAGATGGGCAAGGTACGTACGTACGTAGTAGGTAGATACGTTGGGGAACCAGTACCAAACCGCCTGGGGGGTGGATCGTCCGTCAAAGGATCCCCAGTCGAGTCTAGACTAGAAGAGGGCCGCAAGCTCGAATCAATTGCGGTTGTTGGGCCGGCGGTGATTGGGCTCCTGCGGAACTGCGGTCAGGGTATCGGCTTATAGACAGGGGTGTAAAAGGGCCGTCTCGTGCCTAGAGGGAGCATACCTCCTGCTGGGTTTCGCCGACATGCAGCTCGATCTAACCCAGAACCCTGCAAAGATCCCTCGTCCAAGAACAGACTCCGAACTGGAGATTTGGGGAAGATGGAGAGAGGACACCGAGAACTCGGCCGTGCTGTCGCTAGATTTGCCCGGGTTACCTGGGCACGCCTACCTGGGCACGCCTAGCTAGGTACCTACACGGTCGTCTCCAGCAGCAAAGCCCTCCCGAAGTCATACGCAGTATATCACCAGACCGCCCGGCACGGGGACGGGTGTAGAGGGATCGCCATGCTGGTAAATACATAGACCATTCGTTACTCCCGTGACGAATTTAGGAATTCATCGCTTGACAGGGAGGAGGTGTTAGTTCCGTGGCCTGCGCAGTTGTACTGCCTAGGGATAGATCTCAACGTGGTGTAAGAGAGAGAGGCGTGTGTGTGTGTGTGTGTGTGTGTGTGTGTGTGTGTGTGTGTGTGTGTGTGTGTGTGTGTGTGTGCATATGTAGAAAGCCGTTCCCGAGACCTAGCTAGGCAAGTAAGTAACGCGGCTATCCGTATTGGCCATATGTCCTACGCTCTCACCTACGTAACATACCTAGGTGCGTATACGCCTCTTGTCAGTGAGGCGGGAGGAAAGAGTGTGCGCCATCCCTGTATACCGAGCATTGTGTCCAACGCAGCACGACGAGAGAGCAGCGGCCATGACCAAATGCATATTCGCATGCGGGTCGTGAGGTCACCAATCTCTCTGATATTGGTGTAATTAGGTAAAATGTGCACGCAGGGGATCGGCCAACCAATTGTCGATTTTGTTCTTCTGTCCTTGGTTGTACCCTGGGCCGACTAGATCGGTTAGATGCTTGAACGCGCTGGAAAGGCAGATGCGCCGCCGGCCGAGGGCGAAAGGTGTGGCGCGGATGAAACGGGTCGGGGGTGGGAGGAGGAGGATTTAGACTACCTACTTACTATGTAAGTATCGTCGCTCGCCGTTCTAGGTCGAGACGTCTACTGAGGTTGGCGTTGGAGAGGTCTGTCTGCTTCTGCACATCTGGTAGCTTAAGGCTGGTCTAGTTTTTTTTTTTTCTCTTTCCCGGTCAGCTGGTCGGGGGGTTTCGAGGCAACTTGAGTCCTTGCTGATTCCCGATCCCGGATCCCTCAACCCAGGCAGGCCATCTCGTTCGTTCGTCTCGGATACGGGAGCGATGCAGCCTCGCCGCCCGTTGTTGGTGGTGATCGTATGTGTGCGGACGCGACGTTACATGGACACAATACGGAATAGGTAATAGCGAATAGGCACAGGCTGCCATGTTGCGAAGTACCTCAGGTGAGGGTTGGCAAATAAGATTGTTGTCGTTCCTATTATTCCTGCTCAGCGCCGGGGGTTGTTTTTCCTTCAGACTTCCCCGCAACTCGCTAGAGCTGCAAGAGGATGGTGATGGGAGGATCTCTCCCCCCTCCCCAATTCCCTCCACTGAACGATCCCGGCAACGTGGCGTCGCGACAAGCACCAACCAACGTATGCCATGGTGGCACCACACCAACCGAGCAGGGCTCCGAGCAGGGCCATGCGGATTTTTCGTAGCAAGCCTGTTGCGAGACCCTGTCTAGATCGGCTCCGTCTGTCTGAACTGGCCGCATTTCAAATATTCACGAGGAGAGAGAGAGAGAGAGACTACCGGCAGTTCCCCCTAGCAAGTTACGTCGGCTGTCCGCTAAGTATACCTGTTGGTAGTGTCGCTACCTGGCTTGCTGGACAGGCTCGTGATGGGTGTCGACTGGGTGGACGGATCCGTTACGTAGGCAAGTCACCTATGATGCTACCATCCTCGTAACCTCATTTCCGACACGCTGCATGGCTTTTTTCGTCTCCCTTTCTCTTTTTACGTCTTCTAGAATTGACGGAGGCACGAGGATCAGGGATTGCGGGAATGAGACAAGAGAGAGACCAGAAGAGACAGAAGGGAAATAGAAACGAAGATCAGAGCACTAGGTGGCTCGCCTATCTGACGGGAGAGATTTGGATTGCAAATCGTCAGAGATCGAACCACAGGTCTGTGTGGGTGGAGTGGAGGACGGATGGGCTTAAGCGCGCCTGGCCGGCTGGATCAACTGGGACACACTTTTACATATCCGAGCGCGAGGAAATATTCTAGAAAGTGGACGGACGTAACGCAGCGAGTTGAATCAAGAAGGGGGGGGGGTTCGTAGACTATAGTCGCCGGAGAGGCGTTCGTCACGCATGCGATGGGAGTTGTTGATGTTGGAGACAGAGAGGAAAAGGGACAGCGATGGATTTGGATTGACGTCGTGCGCCTACTGCGCATGGCCTGTCTTAGGTAAGTCCATGAAGACTGGCCGGCGCATGGATGCAGGTGGCACGGGGAAATCCAGAAATCCATTGATGGAATATAATTACGTGCCTGCCTGCCTGCCTGCCTCAGGTAGGTACCTCCTAGGACCTTGGGTACCTGGCCGTGTACCGTACACATACTACCCCATATAGTAAGCTATCTCCGGGCTGTCTAACTATAGGTAGGTGCCTCCCTCCACCTTAGGCAGGTACCTCCTACCTACCTCTAGGTATCTGACGTAGCGCCTACCTACAGAGCCTAAGGAGGCCGCTATAAGGCAGATTCAGGAAAGAAGGCAGGTATACTCATAGAATCTCAGGTACTTAGGGGTACTTGCTGGCATGCGCAGGCAACCTTCCAAAGATGCTCTATGCTCTAGGCGATGCGCGTACCGTACCTACTTAGTAATCTCCCCCGCCTTAGCCCGATCCCTCCTTAGGTTAGGTAAGTCTCCAGTGGCCTCGCGTTGGATGCGGCGGGGCCCCACTGGCGACTAGGCGTGCACGGGGCCAACGCCGAAGAAAAAAACGGAAGACGGGGGATTTCTGGAGCCCCGCGGACCTAAATAGTTCCAGCCAGACCTGAGCCCTGGGAGAGTTGATCGGCCCGAATAGCTCTCCTCCTCTCCTTTCCCCATCATCTTCTTCTCCTTCAAGCTCCTCCTCCACCGTCATCCTCCAGCATCCAGTAACCATACCGCTTGCGTAGGTCGGCGTTCCGTCACAGCATCGGCTCCATATTCACAAGTGCTCGGCGACAAACACCCGTCAGACCTTTCCCCCCCTTCGATACACTATGAGCCACTATCGCCGTGTCATCGGCCTTATTGTCCCTTTAGCTCTCCCCTTCTCCCCTAGGCCTCGCTAGCATTGGCCAAATATGCCTTACCCAAAGCAGCCGCATCCCGCTCCATCTCCCACTGCTTAATCGTGAATTACGGCTTGCAGATGGCTTCTGCTGCTCGGCCTTAATACGGACATCCTCGGCCGCGGCATCTTGGAACAAATCCTGGGGCCAACCCATGTGGCTTTCGAGTGGTGGCCTGCCAGCTTCGTAGCCGCCAGCTCCTGTCGGGCTCCACCGGAGACCACCTGCGACACCACCCCGGTCCCACCGCCGAATTCCCAAATTCGCAGCGCGTGCTGCCACCTGCATTGGAGTTGGAGGCTATGCCTAGCTTCTTTCCTAAGCTCCCATACGTAGCTGGGAGAGTCAGGCTTGCGGTGGACTGACCACATGCGACACTGCGGCGTGACCTGCGTGCCGAGTCTGGCCGCTGCCGGGCGGACACTGACGACCAACAGACGACGCGCCCGGCCAGTTCTCGTCTTCTGCGTGGGTAGGATGGGCGGCGCGGTGAGCATTGGCCGAGGTCGACCACGCGGTGGTGATCGTCGCGCCCCAGGATCCCGGAATTCTCAGATCTGCAGCACCCTCCGTTACCGAAACTCTGGGACGTACTCAGGTGCTAGCCAATCCAGAGCTGCGGACTGCGCTTACGATAGCCGATACCATCGTGTTACGTTTCTTCGGATTTCCTATCCGCTCTCCGCGGCCGTCACTATACAGAAATACAGCATGCCACCTATGAAGCTCCTTGTGCTCGAGCCTTGATAGTGGATAGTTGTCACCCTTACCCCCCTGCCGAGCCTCAACGCCTCGCTTCTCTCCTGAAGTGGCACGTCTCGAAGGGACTGCCCTCAAAGAAATGAGCCATGTCGCTTCTACGAAAAATTTAATGAATATTAACCGAACACAGTTACGACGATATCTGCTTCTTAGCCGGAGCAAATTACGCGGTTATTTTCGCGGCATAATCTCACCGATGTTACACCGACATCTCTCCTGGTGAATCGGTCAGCCTGAGGTCTCATCAGCGCTTACAAGACCTTTGCTTCCTGAGGACGATGAAGCCACAGTACGTCAAATGACGAACGGAGGTGAGGAGGTTCGTGTCGGCATGTGCCGGTACGTACAGGAGGCGTTGCCGATAGATCCAGAGACGCGCTCCAGCTGGGGAAGGAGACCGAGATACTCCCGTGGTCACCTAGGTACCGCCTCCTCGGGCCCCCGGCCCTCTAGCTACTAGTTCCTGCTTACTCTAGCGCCATTTCGCTTCCCTGACCGTTTTTAGAGCTCGATATCCTCGACGGCGAGTCTGGTCTTGTTGCAATGAAACCGGGCTGACGCCGACAAGGGGCTGGCGCCCGGCCTGCTTTGCATGATGCATACAATATCTGCATACCTACATCGTCCTCTATAGCTTTCGGCCCTCGGGGCTTTCAGATTACGGGTAAGCAAGCCCTATAAGCCTCGACGGAAGCTCGTACCGGCCAGGGGGTGGGGAGAGGGGGGGGGGCGGTGTAACTGACGATCGTACATAATCGTGCGGACGGCTTCCATAGCATCCGTCACAAAAGCATCTAGGGTAGCCATCATTACTACTCTTAATGCTCCTGCCATCTGGGCGCCTTGGCTCCGTGGTCCAACCGCCCATGTTCTTTTAAATCATCTACGCCCTCGCCAAATCTCAGCACCGTAGGAAGGGGGCCCGTAGACTCATCTTCTTGCTGGATAGACGCTGGCATGCCCGACCACGTCTCGATAACACGGCCATTGGCCGGCTATTCCGAGCGGGCAATTGCGAATATGATATGGGTGCTCGCGTGTGCACCAATCAACAGGTAATACTAATCAGCCACCGAGGTGACAAAACGTCGACTAGGCCGTGGCCACCGTAGGTGAGCAACGCGAGATAATTGCTCGAGAAACACACCCGGCGCTTTACAGCTGCGGGTATGCGCGCGTGCGCGGGCACTATCGTTGAGTTGTAGACAAAACCGGCCGATCCTACCCGCCTCGCCGCCGCCCCTTTCCCCCTTCCTCCCCCCCTTCCCACGGTCCCCGTTTCCGAGACCTGTGGTCGTCCGATGTAAGAACCGTAACTCTTCCCCCCTCGCCTATAAGGCGCCTGAGTAGGTAGGTAGATATGGGCCTCCCTTCGGACTCGGTCTCCTAGGCTATACAGCCCAATCACGACAGACCCAGGTTTCGCCAGCCCTCTTCCTTCCTTATATCCCCACTCGGCCTTCAATCCGCGCCCCTCGCACGCTCCCTGCGGCGAAAGAGTTACTATACCTACCTCTTACCACTTCACGCACCGCCCTCCAGCTAGCCTTGGCCCACGGGCCGATAGATCGATCGATCGATAGACAGAAAAACCGGGTATTACTACTAGCACCCGCCGTCCTCGCGCAGAATCTGCCCATTTCCCTGACCCGCCTGCGCGCCACACATCCCCGCCGCCTCCTCTCTCTCTCTCTCTCTCTCTCTCTCTCTCTCTCGCTCTCGCTCTCGCTCTCGCTCTCGCTCTGAACCCAACCCTGCTCCGGCAGCCGCCTACCACCGGCGTCGTGGCCAACACCGGCAGGAATTCCAGCTCCCTCGTGCGCCGTCCCTGGCGCGCGCACCACGTTGGGAACCAACCAACCCCCCAGGGTAAGCAGCTTACTACACTATATCCCACCTGGACACGTCTACGCAGTGCGGTGGTGGTGGGTTGCACGCAGGGTGTTGTTTATCGTGCAGCCCCCTCCCCAGCTCCGGCGCTGGTGGCCTGTTTCTTTTCTTTTACTTTTTCGGTGACGGGGCGGCCTCTTTGGTACGCCTACAGGTTACGCCTGGGATGGGGGCAGAGTGAATTACCTACCTACCTACCTAAGAAGTAAGCAGACAGACAGGCAGGCAGGCAGAGTGTAGGGTCCGGTGTCACAGCTCCGTCGAAGCCTTCTCGAACCAAGGTTGGGGGGGGGGGGGGGGGGTGTCTTCGTATTGCATTTGGTTGTCTCGACTACACTAAGCCTACCACCACCACCACCACCACCACCAGCTATGACCACACACAGTAGTTGGTTGGTAATACGCAAACTCCCGGCCCAATCCGTTCCAGTTGTATGCAGACATTTGCATTAGTGAAAAAAAGGAAAACATATCGCGTAACCAGTTCGTAATCCATTCAAGTAGCTTTCATCGACCACCGGACATTTAACCCTCCCCCCCCTTTCTCATGGCTCAGGGCTCCGTTAAATACGATCTACCCCGAATCAGGCCGGAATCCCGAAGGTGGCCTGGGAACGGTTACGCGTTGTCCCGGCCTTGGCCAAGTCTACCCCCCCCCCCCCCCCCCTCAAAAAACCCGCCCCCGTGAGGCTCGGGAGGAAAGCCGTCCCATGACCGCGTGGCAGGAGAAGAGAAAGCGTGGGCTGGCGTTTGGGGGTGGGGGGAGGGTATAATCCTCTAATCTGTATCGTCGAATATCGTCGAGCCCCCCCGGGGGCGTGTCCTCTAGAGTATAAGCGAAAATCTCCGAATGGTTCCGAGTTCCATCCGGCTGCGAGGTGGGCGCCGCGGTTTGCCACCCGCGGCCTCTCTCTCTCTCTCTTCACGTCCGCCTACTTTTGGAAGAACCAGCTACTTCGCTTGCCGGTGTTGCCCTCGGTCTGCAGGCTTGCGATGGTCGGGACCTGGGCCGGGGCGTCGCCGGCGGCCCCTCCGCCGCGCAGCGGCTTCGCGATGCGGCTTCCCGCGTTGGCGAAGCTGAAGCTGCCGCCCGACGAATTTAGGCCGCGGGTCGAGCCCGCCTTGGCGGCTTCGAGGCGCTCCTTGACGGCGGTGAGTTGGGACTCGAATCTGGTCATCGACGTTAGTAGCAAGAACGCGGCGGCGCCGACGGCAAAGGGAAGGAGGGGGGACGAGAACAAACCTGTGATTTGCGGCGGTCAACTTCTCCTGGCTATCCTGCAACAAGCTCTCCAGGCTCGAGATGCGCTCGTTTCTCGCGATGAGTTTCCTCTCGGCAATGGCCACTTCCTTCTTGAGGCTGCTGTTTTGCTCGACGAGCTGACGCTGGACCTGCGTCAGCTGCTCCAGGTTGCGCTCGAGGAACGCCATCTTCTTCTGCTGGGCACGGTTGTTGGACGACCGCAGCACGTTGTTGTACTGCTCCCGGGTCTCGTCGAGCGAGATCTCGAGCTCCACCACCCTCTCGCATCGGTTCTGCAGGTCACGCATTAAACTCTTCTTCATAACGTCGAACTCGGCGATTTGCTGCTGGATGGTCTTGCCGTTGGCTAGGCCCGGCACGCCGCTGTACATCGACAGCTCCGCTTGCCGGATGATGCCTTGGGCCTCCACTAGCTTGGTCTTGAGTTCTTGCAGGTCGTCTGGCGGGATAAGGTCTCCGGAGGAGGCCAGTTCGTATAGTGTCTCGAGCTGCTGGATGGCGTTGACGATCGACTGCTCGTTGGCACTAAACGCATCGCCTCCCAGATCGAATCCTGCCATCATCTTGGCCATCTTCTCTGCCTTCTTCTTTTCCTTCTCGTCCTCCACCGCACTCGATTCCTTCGCGTTCATCTTGATATCCAGGAGTTGTTGCTTAACCTCGTCGAGCTCCGTCGTAAGTTCGGCGTTCGCTTCCTTCAACGCGTCCATAGTGATCTGGGCCTCCTTGCTCTCGAAGGTCAGACGCTCTAGCTGCATCTTGGCTTCGTTCACGTCGGTGGTCAATTTCTCGTTTTCTTTTCCAAGCTTGCTGTCGTGCTCCTTCAGGAAAGACAGCTCTTCTTTGGACTCCTGAAGCGATTTCTCGGCAGCTGCGACAGCCGACTCCTTCTCCGCCAACTGGTCCTGGAGTTCGTTTTCTCTCCGGAGGAATTCCTCTCTCTCGTCCTTGTCCAGAGGCAGACTCGGGGTCCCCGCGCGTTCCGTGAACGCAGGTGTTTCGGATCGACTGTCGGGTATCAGCCGCGATGGTGTCGACGGCCGATGTGGCCTCGAGTCCGCTCTGGTAGTAGCAACGCCGTCAGCCGACAACGAGGCCACCCAGCGGTCCTTGGGGACGGTCTCGCCGCCACGCCACAACTGTAGCTCCCCCTCCAAATTCGAGATGTACGTCTCGAAGGTGGTCATGTTGCTCTTGGCCTTAGCAAGCATCGCCTTGAGCTCTGCGGGGCTAAGTTCGGCATTGACCTTTGCCTTGTTCTTAATCGACTTCGCTCTCATACCGAACCGGAGGGTGCTCAGCGTCTCGGCGTCGTTGTAACTGCTCGGGGAGCAGTTTATGATGAGGGTTGTCCGACTGTTTCCTCCCAGGGATTCTTGCAGAATCCTCGTCAATTTAGAGTCTCGGTAGGGGACGTGGGATGATTTGCCGTCGGTGAGCGCGTTGATGACCATGCCCAGAGCGCTCAAGCTCTTGTTGATCTTCTTCGCCTCTTCCAACGTCTGGCCGCTAGCGCCGGTCTTGCCGACCTTCTCGCTGCCGGCCAGATCGACCAAGAACAACTGACCGCTCTTCATAGAACCCGTTTCGAGATTCTTCTGAGTGACGGTTATGACGAAGATGGAGTGCGAGCGGGAGGACTCTTGGTTCATGTTGGTGGCGGCGACGGCTCTGGCTGCGCCTCCCCTCTTCATGACCTCGAAGACCTCCTCTACGCTCGACACATAGATCTCCAGCAGGCCCTTGACGTAGACACCCCGGTTCTTCTCCTCGTGGACAGGCAGATTGTCATTCTGGGGGGCTAGCAGGTCGCGGATACGCTCCATGTAGATTTCCATATAGCTGACCCGGACTGTGTATTCGATGGTGGGGGGACTGGACATGATGCTGCTGAAGATCTGCTCGATGATGCGGGGCGTGATACCCTTCCCTTGTTCGTCTTCTATGCTAGTCCCCATCATGGTGTAGGACTTTCCGGCGCCGGTCTGGCCGTATGCGAAGACGGTTCCATTGTAGCCGTTGAGGATATCGTCGACAGTAGGTTTGATGGAATAGTCGAAGATCTCAGCCTGCTTGCCTTGCATATCAAATACGCGGTCGAACGTGAAGCTACCCGTGGCCTCGCCGGACTGGAAGCAGGGACAGCATGGTTAGCATGGCCGGCTACGGCGGCACTGATGGCGGCAGCAGCGCAGGAGAAGAGGAGCAAGGGGGAGAGGGAGGGGGATTCTATAAAGCGGGTAGACACACATTGAGAGTGCAAGTATCTAAGCCATCGAAGGTGACGATAGGTTCTCCGCCCGATGCCAACTCGACCTTGTTCTGCGGCCGGAAGCGGGCAACGACCTTGATGCTGTTTGCGCTCGACATGTTGGCGATGGCGTTCTGGTAAGGACGGCTACGCGCAGGAAAACATGCACGGAGGCAAGGCCTATCTCATGATAAGAAATCCGAGTTCTGTAACAGACGCAGCTCCGCCAGGGAAGCGGCGGTCAGGTCAAGGAAAAGTCGAGATGCTGCTGGGCAGCAATGTCGATATGGTTCCTCTATGTGGCGTTGTTTTTATTTTTTTTCCTCCTGTTGTTGCCGAGCACCTGGGGCGGGTTGACGAGGCAGATGGGTAGTGGTGCAGGTGGTGGGCGGCGTGGTGTAATAATATTAAAGAATGATCGTCGCGTCAACCTGGAGTCGGCGTTGTGAAGTCAGCAAAAGTAATATGGATAAGGGATAGGCTGGTAAGCTAAACGCTTTTGGGAGGGGGGTTTTTTTTTTTCTAGGCTGCGCCTGAAGTTCCATTGCAACTAGGTCCATAAGTACCGTAGGTACCTAATACACATACTAAAGATACTTCGGTACCTGCATATATACAGGTAGGTACCTAGACAGAGGTACTGGGTGTGCTTGCCCACATCTTAAGAAGTACTCAGATACCTATAGTATCTGCTTACCTAAACATACACGGCCATGTCTACACATAGAACTGCTGCCAGCTGTAATTCATTACCTTAGGTACTTTTATATAACGCTTGTAACAGGCATTCCGGCTGTTGGCTGTTTATGACGGTATGCGTGCAGTGAATGCTTGTGTGGGCATATGAAGTATTCACCAAAGTTACGGCTCAACTCATGCAGTCTCTAAGACTACCTTACTTACTATATGCCAGTAAGTATTTCCTGCCTTATAGATACACGTATATATATGTGCCTGCGTACCAGAGGTAGGGACCAGGTTTATACTATACTTTAGATGTATACATCAGGTGTAAATACCTACCTAACTTATCAGGCTCTACCTACAAGTGCACCTATATAGCTATGTGCTTGTAATAAATAAACAACTCATCACGGCATCAACTCCATCAAATAAAGCACAATGTCATATTCATAAAAGGCCGGGTTAAAGGTATGGTGGAGGTATCTAGGGAAATGTGCATACATTAATTCTATGTAGTAGGTGCATACATACAGCAACCCTGCAAAAAAAAAGGGGGAGGGGGGATGGGGGCTGGGCTCTAGTGAAGCCGTAACCAGCTATCTAACCTACCTAAGTATAGGCAAAGACCGCAAATTACATGCATTTACCACCCATGTAATACTGACTCACAGAGCCTCTCCCGCCTCTCTTGATGGCTCTATCGCCATACCCTTCCTCAGAAATGAGTCGAAGCCGCTTTGTAGGACGAGCTTCAAGGGACTAGACGTTTCCACATAGACATATACGTATATACAGGCGTTTAGACCGGGCAGCATCTTCAAGCTTCGCCCTTATCATTTACCATTCTTGCTAATTCCACCCTAAACAGAAGAACAGGCACGCACGCAGATGCCCATGAGGGCTCTTTCTTGCCCATGTCTATTGTACATACCTACCCTCCAGAACCTATCGAAACAAGAATGCCTACCTAAACAGGCCTGGGCGTCTGGGTATCGGCTGCTCTACATATATGGTGTAGTGGCCCGTAAAGCACGCATTTACCCCGGCGCCACAGAGGAGGAGGGTTAGGTCCAGGCAGCCAAGGAGTGGGGATAAATCCTGTATGAATAGCTCAACTGGAGGGCTGATTACCATATTCGCTTCCTGTCCGACACCTATCAAAACAAAACGCCCAGCCGTCCAGGCACCTCTCGCGCATCATTCTTATCGCGGAGCCGAGGCTGCATCATGCCATCGTGTCCCGTGGGCATCTTGGGGAGGTCGAGCCTTAGATGTGCCCGTCCGCTTCCAGCGCCCGCGGATCGTGGTTGAGTTCATCCATCATGGTATCTCCCCGTTTTTACGCCCGGGAAGGAGGGGGGAATAAAACAGAGAGCCTAATCCTCCCAGCTCTTCTCTACCGTCTCACGCACCCTCTTAGTGTATTCCTTGCGGTTATCTTTGTACAGGTTGGAAGCCTCCACGTTGGCGGGGGATCCCGTGTTCGGGTCGTTGAGGAGACTGGGACGAAAAAGGTCAGCGTCGGGAAGAGACAACGAAGGAGGGTTGAGTTCATCTCCGTCTCTTACCTTTGGATGCTCGTTAAGACAGCCGCGACGTCGTATGTTGGGCTCCATCTGTTTTGTAGGATGTCCAGGCAGAGCTCGCCTGTGGCGTAGACGTTGGGGTGGAACATCTGGCTTATAAACTTGACGGCCGGCGGCTTGTTCGGATATTGCTCCTCGAAGTGCATCACGAGTCGGAACGTGCCATCTTCGAAAGGCGTATCGGCGGGTCCGATGATAACAGCATTCCTTCACAAATTTTCTGTTAGATCCACGCCGCGATCCAGGTCGGGTGTAGCCGTTTGCAAGCTCACCAAGTCATGACATTGTCAGGCACGGGAGATGCAGATACCCCAGCAGGGGGGTCGGTCTGCATGCGCTGTATGACCCTGTTAGCACACCGCCAAATACATTTACGCCCAAGGCAGAGCGAGTGTCCGTCTAGCATACCTTGAAGTCTCTCATTAACCGGCGGCGGGCAGCGGTAGACATCGTGGGCTGTTCGGAGGTGTCTTTGCCGAGAGCGTCGTTTTGACAAAGGAGGAGGAGGAGAGGAGAGGAAAGTGATGGTGATCTGGCGAGTGACGCGAGGTATTTTTCCGCACTGCTTTCTTGTGAGAATTCCGGGAGCAGATAGAGGCTCACTTGGATGATGGAATAGGCGGCGCGTGACAATGAAGAGGGAGGAGAGGGAAATGTTGTAATAGTCAGGGTGGTAATGTGGTAGGTTTCGAGTGGTGATTATTCCAACCAGATCATCCGAGAGAGAGGGCGTTGGATTGGGTCTCTATGACAAAGACATCATTAACTAGTACATATCGGTACATGACCCCGGCAGAAAAAAAGGCGAGCCTGCCAATGAAATGCCCGTAGTTTCAAGTTGTACTGCAGCACCTATTCGTACACGTGACGGGCTAGAATGACTTGGAAGGTCTACGTACATATATTTACCGATCTATCTACCTGGACATATACCTACCTACCTATTTGACAGGTTGGGTAGGTACCTAATGTACCTTAGGCACCTACATGGCTGGAAGAGATAGGTACCTATAGATAGGTACCATACAGGGAGGGGGGGGTCTATTAATACTATGTTAGCAACCCTTTCTATAACTGGACATAGTATCTACCTCGTAATAAGAGTAAATTAAACTCTAGGCTAATATTATTATTATTTCTTAACATAGTTACCATCCGGATATAATATTTTTATTTTAAAAAAAGGTACATTCTATAGGATTACCCGGTTACCTCTATATTACTAAGTACGTACCTTTGTACCTTTGTATTTTTTACGTCTGTTACCTACTTCCTAACCTCCTACCTACCTACCTACCTACTTACCTCTTCCATAAATTCGAAGATAGATAGATTCCACGCGCGAACTAGCCCCTATAGGTTCGAAGATAGGTTCGAAGATAGATAGATTCTATATGCCTGAACTAGCTCCCACAGGTTTGTAGATAGGTTCGCAGATAGGTTCGCAGATAGGTTCGAAGATAGATAGATTCTACGCGCGAACTAGCTCCCACAGGTTCGCAGATAGGTTCGCAGATAGGTTCGCAGATAGGTTCGAAGATAGGTTCGAAGATGGGTAGTAGATCATGGTGTTTATAAAAAAAAGATGAAGACAACAGGTCTAGGTAGGTAGGTCTAGGTAGGTAGGTCTAGGTAGTGTAGTAGTACGGTAAGACATGCCCTCTTAATGCATTACGTAACACGCTACGATAGGCCTTATGCCTATATAGAATAACCATAGCTCCCGTAAGTACGGGATATACTATGCTTATTATTTAGTTTATTACCTAGCTAGATTACTATCTTTATTATTTTTACCTTAATTAAAGATTCGTTTTTATTATTAGATTCGTCGTTTTCCGATTAGTATATCTATCTTAGTTATAGGCGCTTAAGTTACTTCGTCGTACCGCTATAGCTAAATAAGTAACTTTTACGTTTTATTCCTTTTTTTTCCTTACCTCTTATACCTTCGGGTTAGCGATTACTATATCTCTACGATTAAGGGACATAACTAAGATACGATAACTACATTAAATTCCTTACCTTTCGATTAATATAGCGATATTAGTTTTATTTATTTTGGATTATCGTACGTACTATAATCTTCGATAAAGTATACTTTCGAGTAAACATATCCGGGTCTTTAGGTATCGCGTACGCTTTATTCTTCCTTAGTAGCGACTATCCTATAACTTTTTCGACCCCTTAATCTTTAGTTTACGGAGTTTTTATTACGTTACTAAGATTTAAAGGATACCGATCGCCGTCGGCGCCGTTATTTAACCCGCGAAGTAACCCGCGTTTTACGTTAAATAAAGTATCCCGCTTTATATTTATTTATCTACTATAGGGAGGTACGTATAAGCCCGGGAACCTTTACTACGATACTATAGCCGCTAGGATACTACCTAGCCCTTAATACTTATAACGTTAATAAGTTATCGATATTACGATATAATACGACGATTAAACCGCGTTTATACCGATTAAGATATTCCTTATATCGTTATTTACCTACCTATAAGGAGGTACCCGTAAGCCTAGGGAATTATCGTCGTAATACTACCGCTACTAGGGATAATACTTAGCCTTCGATACTAACCGCTCTCTCGAACCGCTAATAATATAGTATATTTCGTACGAGTAAATAAAGCTCGTAACGATTAAGGCAGTTCCCTTATAATTATCTACTTATTATATAAAGGACGTACGAGCGCCTTAATATAAATTACGATAACCTATACGACCCGCTATTCTTTTATTAATACTAAGGGCGGATAAAGGCTAATAATAATTATACCTTAACCGACCTTACGATAGCTTCTTTTTTTCCTTTAAACCTATTAATCGATATAAATTAAATATATAAATACTAATAACTTATTATACTAAAGGTATTTTAGGATACCTAGGCGTAGCGATTCGACGATATAGTATACGATATAATATAGATATTTATATTAATAGTATAGATAGGATTAATAGATTAATAGTTATTAATAACCGATAGTTTTAAAGAGAATTAAGAATTAATATTAATAAGACTACGTAGATATAAAGGATTAGGAAAACGGAACTAAAGTTAAGCTAATAGGTATACCTATATATAGGTTAGCCTTATATTATTAATTAATAATTAATATAGTAAGAAGTATTAATATAGGCGTAAAACGGCGCCTAGCGGTAATACCGTTAATACTATTAAATAGCTTCCGTTAAATCGAGACCGGCCTATAGCTATAACCGGTATCGTATCTAACGCGATTCTTTACTCGGGATCTATCCCTTATACGTATTACCTTAACGAAGGTTATACGTTAGGAGTTCTAGACCTTAATGAAAGGAATTATCGTCGACTTATTTATAATAATTAAACTATTAGTCTAAGGAATACGTATCGTACTTTAATTAGGCGTTAGCCGATTAAAGAAGCTCGTATAATACCCGGACCCTATCGATCGAGATAATATAATAAATAATAATATACTTATATTAAAGGAAAAGTATTAAGATATAAATAATAGTTATTATATCTTTATCCTTATGTTAGATAATAAGACCCTTACTACCCTTCTTTTTACTTTATATTTCGTACCGTTAGATTAAACGGAATTTATAGCTAGGAAACGGAATAAATCGCTATCAGGACCTAAAGTAATAAAGATTAAATTACTAATAAAAACCTTAAGAATCGATATTAACTTTCCGCTTTTATATCCGCCCGAAGAGAAAAAGAACGACGATAAAACTCTTACTTAGCTATCCCTTAACCGCGGCTTTATACTTATTCCGTTAATCCCTATAGCATTATCTTAGAATAGTAATAACGAGGCCTCTAGTAGTTAGAATATACCGGTAGCTATCCCGATTATCGTAATATTAACCATTAGATTCCTTAACCCTACCGATTACCCTAGGCTTAAGTTTAATAAATATAACGTAACTTAGTAATTAAAGAAGATAAATCGATTATTTAACCGCTACCGTATAAGTAACGACGATAAGATTAAGGAGATCGGCGAATAAATTACGACTAAAACCATTAGGAAGCGTATTAACGACGTTACGAAGGATTAAACGATCTAAAGAGTTACCGTTATAGCCTTAAAGTACCGTTTTAAAATTACCGATAAACTAGGCTAAGCTAACGTTAAACGTAAACTCGTATAGCTAAAACGAGGTAACGTAATTAACGATCTTAAGGCGATTTTTACGTATTTTATAAACTATAAACGTCTTTTTAAACTCGTAAACGATAACGAAGAGCTTTCTTAGAAAGTAGGATACCTAACCGATAAACTTTAGATATCCTTAATTATAAAGTTCTATAAAACGGGAAACTATAATTATAATAAGATCGGAAATATCGACTATCGGATTCTTTATACCTAGCTTTATAAATAAGCGGAACGTCGTATAGTAATATAAATTACCGATAGGACCTAAGCCGAAGAACGACGATAGTAGAAAACGGTAACTTTCGAAGAACCCGAGAAGCTTATAATGTAAATAATTTAACGATTAACGACTCCTAGCCTTTAAATACCTTTACTACCGCTTTCTTCGTAGCTTAAATCCTTTTACGGCTACCTAAGTATTAGTTAGGAAGCTAGTATATAAGCCCTTTACGACCGACTTAACGCTTTAGAAATAAAAATAACTTCGTAAAACTACCATTAGGATAGTAGCTCTTATAGCCTTAGGGATACGTATAACGCCGATTAATAATATTAATAGGAAAACCCGTTCTTAGTAAACGCGGTTCGGAACCTAAGTCTTTATAATCTATAAACTAACGGAAGGACCTTAATAGGCTTTAAACGTAATACTATATTAAATTATCGAAGCATACGTAGTAGGATTTTATTAACCTAGACGAGTAATTATAAGGAATTCGAATATTAGTTTTATAGTACTTTCGATCGGCTTTATAATTATAGCCGCTACCTACTACTAATAAATATAACGTAGAATCGGTTCTATTATAGGAATAATAAGCGATTATATTACTTCGAAAACGGAAACCCGGATAAGCCGGAGTTAATATTAATCCTAAGGTCGATTATTACCTAAGCTAAGCGTAAAGAAGAACCGATCGCTTATTATATTTTATTTTACGTATATTAAAGTAAGGAATCTCTAGAATAAGTACGTAAGATAGTATATTATTATTTAACCGGAAAGCTAAAGCTTATATCCCTCGACTTACGATACTTTAAGAACGAGGAAGTAATATTAAAGTAAGAAGAGATATTAAGAGCTATATCGGAAATTAACGTTATTTAGATAGTCGAACGTAAATATAGCTACGAATTATACGAAACGGGGATCTTAGGTTATAGTTAAACTAAGGGTTTTATCGACGACGAAGGTATCTATTATTATAAGGGTATTATTAAGACGGATTTAATCGAAGTTAACGTAGTTAAGCGAGCTAAAGGTCCTAACGGCGAGTATATCGAAAGAGAAGTACCCGATTAGGAGGATATAGAAGTTCTATCGTTATAGCTTAGGCGTAGACCGACTAAAGCCGGTAAGAATACTACTTCGAATACGAACGACCTAGCTAAGAAGGCGAAGATTATTAACGAGTTATTAAAAGAGTTTTAATTAAATAAGATTAA